CAATACACTCGATAACACCTTGTAACCTATGCTTAGAAGGCTGATCCCGCTACAGTTGGCGCGAATGGCGGGGTCGCCTTTCTAGTGGATTGGGCAGAGCATACTTAAATTCCATTCGTCGGGCATGCGTTCATCTGACCATTTTCGGCATAAGAGTTGATGCATGCACCTTATCAACTCCTCGCCACCGTACTTGAATAGCTCAGCTGACAGGCTGTCAGCTCCAGCTGCTTTGTTGTTTTTCAGCCGCGTTATTGCTATTCATACGTCGTCATGGTCAGGCGGAGGAACATCGACTCCGTCATCATCAACTGAGGTCTCGGGTTCTTCCTCTCCACAACTTTCCGTGCTGCTACCATTCAGTAGCGTGGAAAAGTGTTCCCTCCATAATTTAAGTACGCTGTGAACATCGGTAACTAGGTCGCTATTGTTGTTCTTACAGGAGTACGCCCTGGTCTTGAAACCTTCTGGTAATCGCCTAACTCTCTAGTAAAATTTTCGGGCATTCTTCCTGTCGGCCAACATTTAAAGCTCCTCGCACTCACATATTTCGGCCTCTCTCTTCTTATTGCGGCAAATACGTCTCGCGGCATCTTTTTTCTCTGCAACCTCCTGACACTCCTCATCGTACCAGTTGTTCTTTCGGGCTCGCTGAAATCCGACTACTTCTTAGGCGGCGGTACTTAATGAGCGAGAAATGTGGTTCAACTGCTCGCATATCTCGGCTTGTTGAAGAGTGCTCTCTGAGAGCAGTTGTGAGGGACGAGTAGCGAATGCATTGGCTGTCTGTTGTGATTGCAGCTTTTTGACGTTAAACTGTCCTTGTATATTTGAGCGCACATTTTTTCCTGCACAGAGGCAGGTGCGTATCTTGGCTGCAACAAGATAGTGATCCGAGTCGATAATTGGGCCTCGGAGTGTACGTACGTTCAAAACACTGGAAGAATGCCTTCCTTCTATCACAATATGGGTGATTTGGTTTCTCGTTTTTCGATCCAGAGACCGCTACGTATGTAGCTTGATGAATCTTTTTATGCTTGAACCTAGTACTGCATACTACCATGTTTTGGGCCGAAAATCGATCAGCCTTGGTCCGTTGTCAGACGTTTCATCGTGGAGGCTGAATTTTCCGACGGTGGTTCCAAAGATCCCGTCCTTGCCCACCCTGGCATTGAAGTCGCCAAGCACGATTTTTATATCGTGGCGGGGCAGCGCTCGTACGTGCGCTCCAAGCGTTCATAGAAGAGATCCTTGGATACCTCATCCTTCTCTTCCATCGGGGCATGGGCGCAGATGAGCGAGATGTTGAAGAATCTCGCTTTGATGCGGATTATGGCTAGACGCTCGTCCACCGCTGTGAACGACAGTACTCGGCGACGGAGTCTTTCTCCCACCACAAATCCAACACCGAATTTGCGTTCCTTTACACGGCTGCTGTAGTATACCGCCTGGTTGTCTGCCGTCCACAAATATGAATATGCAGTCTGCATGCCTTTTTACAATCTATGCTTTGTGGCGAGTCTAAATTCACTGTGCTGCACACTTCGTTTTGGTCTAAATGTAATTTCAAATATTGTTAATACTAAGGTGATCAGGACCAATTCTCCACATTGAAAACATAAATTTTTATTTTTTTTTATATTTATTATTTTTTTATTTTATTTTAACAGAAGTTTTGACTATTTATTTTTCACCGACTTGGAAAAAAAGGAGACGGTTATCAACTCGTCAGAATATTTTTTTTGTATGTTACCGTTTAAGGTGGTCCCATACTGATTTGGTTTAGATCCGATCATTGGATCATGAAAAAATTAACGGTACTCCTAAATTTGTATATGAGAATTGAAGTCGGTTGTGTTTTTTGCTTAAAAATTACGTGTTAAATCATTTAATGGTAATTGAATTACTTGCAAAAGAAATAGCTTTCTTTCTTCGTCTTTCGTCAAAGTTCGATTATAATTTTTTACCAATGCTATACTAATGCTATATCATTAACATATTTAATACTTTTAATCGTCTCTAAGACAACCAATTTCAGGGTAATTCTTTAGAGAATTTAATGCACTATAAGAATATGCATAGAAAAAACGTTTATCTCTTTTTTATAACTTTTTTTTAACGGGCCAAAAGCTATAACATTTTTACTGAAAACAAATTATTTTACATGTTTTTTTACAAAGAAAAAATCAAATGCCCACTGACACCTTTTAAAATTGAAATAAAAATTTGTCCAAATAGGAGAATTTTCTTCTCAGTGTATAGGCCATTTTAAGGCCATAAATTCCCCCAGGTTAGTTATTTTGGATCACCCTTATATATATATATATATATACAAGAATGACTCGTTTACGGTAATAAGAATAAGTGGCAAATTTCCTGTAAAATATCCCAAAAAAAATCTGGATCCGCAGCTGGACCTGTGTTATTTTTGATTATGTATTTGGATGTGAAATAGTATATTTTCTAAATTTTTCTAAGCATATTTGCGCCCCAATGTAAGGAACATACATGTTTTAAGCCATCTTACAAATGCTTTTAGCAAGATGAAAAATCCCCACACATAAATATTGCCTCTGATAAAACTTATACATATCTCGCAAACAAAATGACATATGGCGGGCAATAATTCTCGCCTGTGAAGATGCGTCGTTAGCTAGTCTTTCAGTGTAGAGGTGCAAAACTATCGATAGTCAGACCATCGATAGTTTTCGATATTATTTTCAAAACTATCGATATATCGTCGATAGTATCGTATTTATATGGTTTTCGCTCAATTTTCGTATGAAGATTTCCTTAAGAATATATTTCGAAACTACGTTTGGATATTCTTGTAAACTACTGTACACTATTTTTAATTGTTTAACCGTTAAGTTAGAAGTAAAGTTATTGAAAATTTGAAATGAATTGAAATGGAAAAAAATTGGGCATACTGAAATTTTATATTTGTGGTTTTAGATATCCTCCGTCATATATAAGGCATTCATCAAGTAAATTTCAATTTTAGAAGAAACCATTTTTTATCTGAGAAGTAATGGTTTTTATTTACCTTTTCATAAATAGTAAATAGTGGTGGTAAATATTGAAAGTTTTGGTATAAATTAATTTGTATCAGTTTTTTAGCGGTATTTTAAAAGATGCAAGGTTTTCCGTCATTTTCGAAATTTGACATTACTCTTTTAAAAAAGTAGCAACCAAATTTTTAGTTCAACTTGGATGTTTAAGAGAAATGAAAAGAAAAGAAGAAATAAAACTAAAATAAATACTGAATCACATGTCTGTCGGACTATCGATAGGACCAAAAAACAATCGATAGTAGGGAAAAATAAAAAACATCGATACTATCGATAGTGCCATCGATAGTTTTGCACCTCTATTTCAGTGTTGTAAAATCTAATACGGCTTTCCTACGGTACCGTGAATTACTTTGTTCGCTTTTGCAATTACGATCGCGAATTGTACTAATCATTCGTAATTGGCGCCCCAATTATCCTTAGAACTACGTGATTCGCCATATAAAATATTTAGTGCGAATTACCTCATTTCTAGGTAATTCAGATCCAATTACCAAGCGAATTACGAACAAATCGCTACCGTCTCTAATTTTAATCGGAAGTTTATCGAACTCAGCTGTCAAAGCAAGAGAGAATAGGAAAAATCAAAGCAAAGAAAAGGGAAATGAAGGAAAAGCACAATAAATTGTCAAATCGGATTAGGAATGAGTCGTGTAAACGGGGTAATTCACCAAAGTAATTCATAAGCGAACTACGTAATTGGCAGTGCTCGTGGGGACATAGTATTACCCCTTTCCTAAGGGCACATTCTTAATTCGATTTGACAGTTCCCTATCTTTGTGTTTTGTTTTTTTCTCCGCTAAAAAATGTATGCAAAATGTAAGCAATTATTAAAAATTTATTTTTCGTACTCATGAAAAGTGTCAGTTTTGATTTGTGAACTGGTGTCGATAAATTTCTGATAAAAATTAGAGACGGCAGCGATTTGTTCGTAATTCTCAGGGTGATTGGATCAGAATTACCAATAAATCAGGTAATTCACTCTCAAAATTTAGTAAGGCGAATTACGTAATTCGAAGGGTAGTTGGAGTGCGAATTACGAATGAGAGCGCGAACTACATACATAATTGGGGTGTCGTGAGAAAGCCGTATTAAATAAGGCTAAAAGGCGTTTACACTGTTCAACTCTCACAGGCGGTTAATTGAATCAAAAGTTTACATCATTTAACTGAAAGTTGAAAAGTGTAAACTCCTTTTAAATACAATGATTCTGTACGATTAGGACATAATAATATTCTGAACGAAATTTTTTTAAAATTTCATCACTGCTATAAAACTTTAAAAGGAGGACAAGGAGGACATTTTTGCTCAAAAGGAGGACAGATAAGGACAATATTTTTAAGGAGAACAAATCAGGTTTGAGGAGGAGAATCCTCCTTAAAGGAGGACGGTTGGTCAGCTTATTAATACATGCATTTTTCAACATCCGGCATCTGCCAAAAATCGTACCTACCTATAGAGCTACATGTCCAAAACTATTGCTATATGTTCCTAATTAGTTAATCTTTATATATTTATTGATTTTTGCAAAATTGGACCATTTAGTATTAATATTAACAAATTTTTTCTGCATTGGTTACATATTTTGCTTTGCGTTTTGGCGTTTCTCTCTCGCAATTGCACCAAGATGACGTCACACAAAAATTACGCTCAAAAATCCTCTCTCATGGGCGCAATCTTGTATTCTGTTTTTCTTGGTATGTCGGAAGGTCAACATATAAAAGAGTATATCGACGACTTCTATGCAATTTGGGAGCCACTAAAAGAAATTGAAGTAACTTTGCCAGAAGATCTGTTATCCATAATTCTACTTTCCAGTTTACCAAAATCATACGAAAATTTTGTTGGTGCTATAGAGCAATAGTGCACAGCGTTGACAGAGCTACCAATACCAGCGCAACACTTTCGTCTTCCCTGCAGCGGAAAGTACTAGTATAGAACTAGTGAATTCACCAGTTTTCTGAAGTCGAATACGGGTACCTCGCAAATCTACCACCTATGCTTTTTACTGTCGTATTTCGTTTTTTATATTACAAATATGATATTTTTTAATACAAAATGAGAATTAAGCAGTAAAATTCATTTTGGGAAAATTTCATTGAAAATATGGTAATTTTTTCAGGAATTCAAGGGAATTAGCATCCTTGCCAGCAACTATCCGGTAATTCGTTTTCATGAAACAAAAACAAAAGTACGTGAACGCCAATCTAGTAATAATTTGCAAGTGTCATTAACAGCTGAAGAATTGGTTGTTTATTCGTGGCAACTTCCTAATAAAACAATCAGCCTTGTCATGAGTTTCATTTTCCCCGAACCGGTTCACTTTTCACTTTTGGTTTCCGTGTATTTAATATGGACGAACGAAAAATTTTTGCGTGATTTTTTTTCGGGTGAAACTCAGGACAAGGCTGAATATATTTTAAATTTAATTAGGTTTATTTGGCAATTTCAACTATAAAAACCCCAAAACAGTTTCCTTTTTAGTTTTAATTGCACCCATCAACATGCGATCAGCCGTTTTTCGTGCGTGCAAAATGTTACGAGTAAACATTTATCCATTGAAAGTCCAGTAAAAGCTTCCAACTTTAGCTTTCATTTTCGCTCCCTCACTTTTCCCTACTCTGCAAGTAGTATTTGCGTACGAAAACGCCAAAACATGAAAATTGGTAATAATTTTTACTGGATCTTTGTGGAAAGTGGGTACAAAAACACAGCTATTGTATATGTCGCCTTGTTTATACATACATACATGCACAAAAGAAACAATAAAGTTGTCGCTTTTGTTTGCTGACAGTGACGCTGAGCTTAATTGACGAACGCAAGTGTTCTCGCAACAACCAGAGCTGGCCCAAAATATCTTAGGCGGTAGGTGGAAAAAATTTAATAATGAAACATCTGATTGCATTTCTTTTAAGCCAAGCAAGACCTTCACAAGTGCACTGAGTTTAATCAACTTTTCTATTTGCTCCACTTTTTTTTTATAAGAAAGTCAATGAGTAAATATTTGTGGGTTAAAAGCAAATAATTGTTGTTTACACCATTCGATTTCAATTTTATTGTTGACTTTTGCGAACAGATGCTAATTTTAGATCTCAAAAGTTCGATATTATACGGCAGAACCAGAAACCACAAGGATTAAAGTAGAACTTAGGTTCTGCTAGAGCTGTGAAGGTATCTACTCGAAGAATGTTTAAAAAATATTTCAAAAATTAAAAATGGTATGGTATTACAAGTACTATTGTTCTCTTGGATCTTTAACCGTTGTCATAAATGCTCCAGTTTTTCACTCTCAGCAATCGCAAAATCGATACAGTGTCTATCGATTTATTGTTCGAATAAATATATTGCTTTATATAAATACATGTAAACATCCTGGTCTCCACTCTCACTGAGTTTTTCCCTTATAAATATGTTTATGTACATATGTACATAAGTATGTGCATTAGAGTAATCTAAAAATGCATGAGAAAAATTAAAGTCGGAATTTTTATGCTCTCACCCCCTAGGATTGTTCTATTTGTTTTTATTTTAAAATCAAAAAATATTTAGAAATCGCTCAAAACGCTCAAAGTTTTCCATGTATTTTATATACTTTTCATATAAATGGTATAGAATCAGAAACCGTAGCAGTTACAAATTTTATTACAAAAATCACTCTTTAACAGTTTTTTTTTAGACTTTTACTTACTTACTCCTTAAATAACAGTGCTTTCTGAATTTTATTTCATAAATCGAAAATAAAAATTATTTTAGATTTTTATCTAAATAATCTGCAAATAACAGTTATTTTTGGATTTTTAAATTGTATATCTTAAATAACAGGTACTGAAGACTTTTATTTATAATTTATAAATGATAATGACTTTTAAACGTGTTATTTAAAAAATAAACGTCGGTGACTGTTATCTAAAACATATAATATAAAAATCAATAATCAATCTGGTAATTAAAGATTATTTAGATAAAAATCCAAAATAATTGTTATTTTGGATTCGTAAAATAAAAATAATTATTTATTTTTTTAATTTTGCATAAATATTACAAGTAAAAATTTATTTTCAAATTCCATTCTCTGTGAAAAAAGACATCGATTGGTATGTATCCACTTAGTTTTAGAACATTTCCTTCATAGTGAATTTTTCAATGACAGTTTTTATCAACAACTTTTATATATAATTCTCAAAAAACAATATTTTTCAATCGGGAAACTCTGTTTCTCTGCAGGAAATTCTCGATAATAATAGCCAATTGTTTATTTAATCATTTCTTCATAGTAACTATAATTTACAGGTCCGACAAAAACCACAAAAAAATGCAATAGGGCACCAATTAAAAATCTTTAGTATTAATAAATTTATAAATAAACAGTTGGGTATTATTATTGGAAGTCGCCTGAGGAGAAGCAGAGTTTGCCGATCGAAAAATATTGATTTTCAAGAATTCAGTACTATTTCTATGAAAAGTTGTTTTTTCCCATATAAAATACATGGAAAACTTTGATCGCTTTGAGCGATCTATTAGACCTCAATAGTTTTCGATTTAAAAATTAAAAATATGGCTATATTTTTTTCGACAAAGAACAATCCTAGGTGGATAGAGCATTCACATTCCGACTTTACTTTTTTTTTTGGATCACTATAATGTATCTACATACAGTTTCTTGCCTTTCTTCCAAGATGGGCCTGCTGGTTTTTCTTCACGCTGGACAGATCCTGTAATGTATAAGAAAATTTTAGATGATTATTTCATGAACCAGAAGAATGTTCCTTTTATTTAGGTGGTTAGAATGGCGATATTATATTCAAGTACTTCATCGTAGAGGTGGATAGGATGGAATAAAATCCATTATTTACCTTCTTCTTTATTGACGCTGCAAGCCCCTTAGCGATTTTGGCCGAGTCTGTGCCAACTGACGCCGATTGGAAATGCCAAGTGAAATCAAGTCCTTCTCCACCTGGTCTTACCAATGCAGAGGAGGTCTTCTTCTGCCTCCGCGTTCACTGTACTATATCTATGTAGTTGAAAAGCTCATACAGCTCATCATCAAATCGTCGGCGGCATTCGCCATCGCCAACACGTAAAGGCCCGAAAATCTTTCGCAGAATCTTTCTCTCCAAGAACCGTTTCATTAGATGTTTTCACTGTCCATGCGTCCGCGCCATCCACTAGTCGAGGCATGATGAGTGGCTTATAGAGTGTAAGGCGGTGTTTGTACGGCGAGAGAGGACTTTACTTCTCAATTGCCTACTCAGTCCAAAGTAGCACTTGTTGGGAAGAAAGATTCTCCGTTGGATTTCAAGGCTGGCATTATTATTGGTGAATGCTGGTACCCAAGTAAACGAAGTCGTCTGCTTTTTCAAACTTGTAACTGTCAACAGTGACGTGTATGGCTCTGACTGTTTGTGTGAAGACAGGAGATACTTCGTTTTGTCCTTGTTCATCACCAGACCCATTCGCTTTGCTTCTCTATCTAATCCCGAGAAGGCAGAATAGACGTAGTCCTCGTTCTTACCGATAATGTCGACGCCGTCGTACGCCAGCAATTGCACGCTCTTGTAAAGATATGGTGCCTTCTCCATCATCAGATTAAAGAAATCAAACGAAAAAGAGTCACCTTGTCTCAAACTTCGTTTGGTATCAAATGGGAATAAAGACAACTTCTTATCGTGCTGTTGATCCTATCCTTGCGGATCTTTTTCAAGATTTGGCATATTGATCTGTGGTAGATTTGCCAGGCCTAAATTCACACTGATAAAGTCCGATCAGTTTGTTAACGGTTTTCGATTTAAAAATTAAAAATATGGCGGTGGGCTTCAGTCTTTCACACAATACGCTCCATAAGACCTTGTAACCTATGCTTAAAAGGCTGATCGCGCGGTTGGCACGTTAAGCGGGGTCACCTTTCTTGTGGATTGGGCAGAGCACACTTAAATTCCAGTGGTCGGGTATGCGCTAATCTGACTTTATTCTGCATAAAAGTCGATGCATGACATTATCAGAACCTCGCCGCCGTACTTGAATAGCTCGGCTGGCAGGCCGTCAGCTCTACCAGCTTGGTTGTAATTTAGCCGCGTAATCGCTATTTGTGCCTCGTCAAAGTCAGGTGGCGGCCCATCGACTCCATCGTCAACGACCAGGGCTCGGGACCGTCTTCTTCATAACTTTTTTTGCTGCTACCCTTCACTGGATTAAAAACTGTTCCATCCATAATTTAAGTACGTTCTGGACATCGGTCTCTAGGTCGCCATTGTTGGTCTTACAGGAGTTTGCCCTGATCTTGAAGCCTTCCAACTTCAAAAAGTAAAACCTGTGCACATCCATGTAGAATCCCAGTTCTTTAATTTGACTTCTCATTTTGGAAACTCGAAATAACGGTGCAGATGTGATGACCTTCAAAAAAAGTAGATGGTAACTCTAATTAAAAATATTATCAGCCTATAGTTTTCTTAAAACTCTTTCGTTTGGCACTAATGTTTCGATATTTTATTTATGTATCTTTCGTATAAGTAAAACAAATTCGACTTTTCAAACAGGTGGCAACCCCTTTAAAGGTATTTTCAAACTAAAATCTTTCGCTTGGCATTGTTATACATATTTTAGTTAACTGATGAATTAAGTCGAATTTAATTTTTTAAGCACATGGCAACTCTCCTAAATACAGTTAGAAATAAATTATTTTCAAACCATTTCGATTGATACCCATCTTTTGACAATCCATTTAACTTGTTAAATAATTTAAGCTTAATTTTTTCAACAAAACAAAAAAAAAACAAGTGTTCAATTTAAAGATTTCTTAACGCTCGTTCTTTTGATAACCATATTTTCAAATTTCATGTAACTTATGTATAATTAAACGAAATGCCACTTTCAAAACAGGCGGCAACTCTCTTAAAAATTATTTTCGAACTAAAATTTCCTTAAATATTTTTCGTATGATATTGTTATAAATATTTCAAATAACTGATGAATTAAGTGGAAATTTATTTTTTAAACACGTGGCAACCCTCCTAAATATAGTTCTTAAATAAAGGATTTTAAACCCATTTCCATTAATAACCATCGGTTAGTAATTCATTTAACTTATTAAATAATTTTAGTTTAGCCCTTTAAACTGGGGCCACCCTCAAACACATCAAAAAAGTTCTAAATTTTCAAACTAAGTATTTCTTGAAGCTCTTTCTTTTGACATCTATCGTTAATATTTCATATAACTTGGGAATAAAATAGTTCAACTAGACTTCTCAAATACGTGGCAACCCTATTCAAAATATTTCCAAACTACTATTTTCTTAAACCTCTTTTGTATGACACCCATATAGCCCCTTATTCACTTACCAAATTCCTTTAATTAAAATTGAATTACATTTTTTTAACATGTGGCAATCCTCCCACACGTAGATAATTTATAAAGCCTTTTCAAAACCATTTCGATTGATACCCATATTTAGTAATTGATTTGACTTTTTAATTAATTTGAGATTAATTTCTTAACAGGTGGCAACTTTTTTAGAAAAAGTAAAACCTTCTTGAATATCCACATCCTAAGTAAGCCCTTTAATTTGGTACCTCAGTTTTGAAAATCGAACGGACGGTGCATTGACGGTGAGGGCATTGATTAGTAAATAACTTGATTCTAATTATTTAACAGGTGGCAACTCCTTTCCAGTTTGCACTTGTTCTTGAAAAACCCCCATTTTTTTAACCACGTTTTTTATAGAGAATTAAACAAGGATTACGTTGGTATAATTTTAAATCCCTAATTTACTGGTCTTCACTATACAAATGAAAATTGAGGTTCCTTTTTCGGTCTAATTTCAAAAGCTAGTGAAGAAATTTGGAGGAGTCTTGGTAGAATTAGCATTAAT